CGGGCTTAGCCAGCCTCCAGCGGCAGCGCGTCGCCGAGGAGGAAGCGAACGGCGCCGCTCGGCGGAAGGCGGCCGAACTGGGCTTAGCCAGCCTCCAGCGGCAGCGCGTCGCCGAGGAGGAAGCGAAGCGCGTCGCCGAGGAAGGAGCGGGACAGCTCGACGAGTTCGTGGCGGACGAGCCCGCGATCGTCGTCGAGGACGTGGCGGACGAGCCCGCGATCGTCGTCTCGTGGGACGTCCTCGAGGAGGCGCCTCTCCCGGCCGAGGTCGACACGCGATCGCTCCGAGCGGAGGGCGAGCACATCCTCGAAGGCGAGTGGGCCGAGCAGGCGGAGCTCGACGCGGCCGCGCGGGCCATCGCGGCGGCCGACGACACCATCGCCAAGTACGACAACGCCATGGCCGCCTTGGACATGCTCGCCGACGCCGATGACGGCGAAGCCGCCGAGTCAATGAGCCATTTCGCTTCGACTGCGGGCGCGTTCAAGGGCAAGGACCGCGACGACTTCAAGTCCATGGACGCCTCGTCTGGCCCCGACTGGCTCTCCGGCTCGGCCGCCCCCGCGGCCCCGGCCGCCCCCGCGGCCGCGGCCGCCCCCGCTGCGGCCGCCGCCAGCGGCAACATGGATCACTTCGCGTCCACGGCGGGCTCGTTCAAGGGCAAAGACCGCGACTTCAAGTCCATGGGCGCCTCGTCCGGCCCCGACTGGCTCTCTGGGTCCGGCGCCCCCGCGGCCGCCCCCGCGGCCGCAGCCGCCTCCGGCAACATGGACCACTTCGCGTCCACGGCGGGCTCGTTCAAGGCCAAGGTCCGCGACTTCAAGGCCACGGGCGCCTCGTCCGGCCCCGACTGGCTCTCCGGGTCCGGCGCTCCCGCGGCGCCTCCCGCGGCCGCGGCCACGGCCGCCGCCAGCGGCAACATGGACCACTTCGCGTCCACGGCGGGCTCGTTCAAGGGCAAGGTCCGCGACTTCAAGGCCACGGGCGCCTCGTCCGGCCCCGACTGGCTCTCTGGGTCCGGCTTCTCCGCGGCGCCTCCCGCGGCCGCGGCCACGGCCGCCGCCAGCGGCAACATGGACCACTTCGCGTCCACGGCGGGCGCGTTCAAGGGCAAGGACCGCGACTTCAAGGCCGCGGGCGCCTCGTCCGGCCCCGACTGGCTCTCTGGGTCCGGCTTCTCCGCGGCGCCTCCCGCGGCCGCGGCCACGGCCGCCGCCAGCGGCAACATGGACCACTTCGCGTCCACGGCGGGCGCGTTCAAGGGCAAGGACCGCGACTTCAAGGCCGCGGGCGCCTCGTCCGGCCCCGACTGGCTCTCCGGGTCCGGCGCTCCCGCGGCGCCTCCCGCGGCCGCGGCCACGGCCGCCGCCAGCGGCAACATGGACCACTTCGCGTCCACCGCGGGCGCGTTCAAGGGCAAGGACCGCGACTTCAAGGCCGCGGGCGCCTCGTCCGGCCCCGACTGGCTCTCCGGGTCCGGCTTCTCCGCGGCGCCTCCCGCGGCCGCGGCCACGGCCGCCGCCAGCGGCAACAT